TTCCACTTTACTAGGGGAGTCTTGCATTATGGCTCTATATTTAGTCAAGGCTCTCTAGGGGACCAGAATTGATAGAATGAGTGTATCTTATGAAGTGGGATTTATCATATTGGCTTACACCGTCAGGGCTGGGTAGTTCAACAATGGCTGTCTGCACACTGGAGAGGTTAAGAACATAGTAGCTGTTCAGTCCACAAGGATGCATGCCTCAACAAGCCCAATCTAGTGCCAAAGGCCTGGAGGGTCCCCAGAGAGCTGGTGGTCTTCAATCCACCTTGGAAGGCTGAGCTAGATTCTGATGGCAGCAAAGGATGGCAAAGGCAGCAGCAGGGGTAGATGTATTCGCTCGCAAGGAGTGAAGACAGCCAAGCAGGCAGCAAGACTTGTCCATCAGACTTCTCTATGAGGGCTTCTATGAAAAGTGCTGTATACTCTGGGGGAGGGTTCTGAGCCCTGTGTACTCTTCCTGGAAATGACCTCACAGACCTGCCTAGAGGTGCGTCTCTTAGTTCCAGGTCCCATCAAGTTAACAGCCATCGAAAACCCTCCTGAGCACAACTGGACCCCATTGTGGGTAGAGAAGCAGTGTGGACACAGAGCACTCTAGCTTTATTGCTTGGCTGCAAGGGTCAGAGGGTGTTAAAATAGCAGAGCAGCAGAGGTGGAGAGATGACACAGTGGTTAAGAGCATTCGCTGCTCTTCCAGAGGACCAAGGTTCAGTTCCCAGCACCCACATGGCAGCTAACAACCTTGTATAACTCCAGTTCCAGCAGATCTTATACCATCTTTTGTCCTCTGCAGGCATTACATGTGTGTGGTGCACTTACATATGTGCACGCAAAACACTCGTGTATGTACATAAAATTTAAAAAAGTTAATTTAAAAAACTAATGGCCAGCACTGGGAATGTGGCTCAGTTGGTAGAGTGCTTGCCCAGCATGCACAAGGCCCTGGGTTCCATCCCTAGCATGGCATAAACTGTGCATGGTGGTGCATGTCTGTAATTTTAGCACTTGGGAGGTGGAGGCAGGAGGATCAGAAGTTCAAGGTCATCCTTGGTTATACAGTGCCAGTCTGAGCTACATGAGACCCTATCTCAAAAATTAAAGTAAAATAAAATAGAACCAAAGAAGGTAGCCCAAGGAGTGAGTGTTCGGAGTAGCTAGGCATGAACTGAGTATGCTCTGCTTTCAGGATAGAGAATAACAGACTGAGATGGAGCAGCTGCCAGACTCCCAGGCTGAGAATGCTGGACCGGCCCTGAGGGACGTGATGGTGTGCCCTCATTCCTCAGATCACCACCCAGTCAATGAGATGACTCCCACCAATGCTCAGAAACTCATCCACTGTCACTCTAATCTTCCCAGCTTCCACCAGGCTTGAATTTACAGGAACATAGCAAAAATGGGGCTGTGTGATCCATGAATCCCCAGACAGTCTCCTCAGAAGGCATGGATGTATATCGTAACAGAACTTTATTTTCTTCTTAAAATTGCTTGCGTGATTAATATGGCCCGTCACAGCCCAAGCTGCTCAACATCAAAAACAGCTGCATCTCTCGCTCTGTCCTCAGCACTGCATCCCTCCCACTCTGTCCCTTCATCTGGTTTCCTTTGTTTAGGTCCCTCAGGCTTTCCTTCTATGAACCCTACAATCTCATACAGTTGTATTCTTTTCGTGTGTGTGTGTGTGTGTGTGTGTAGGCATGTGTGCAAGTAGAGGCCAAAGGACAACAGCCTCAGCTGTCATTTCTCAAGTGCTGTCCACCTTGTTTATTTTATTTAATTATTTCTTTTTCCTTTCTGTGTGATGTGCATGTGTGTATGCATTCTTTTGTGTGTAGTCTCACATGTGCATGGGTGTACATGTACATGTGTATATGTGTGTGTGCATGTGGAGGGCCGAGGTTGATGTCAGGGATCATCCTCCATCCCTTTTCCGCCTTATCCATTGAGTGAGGGTCTCTCAATCAAACTCAGAGCTCACCAATATGGCTAGTCTCACTAGCCAGCTTGCTCTGGGGATCTCCTGTCTTCATTTATGTGGGCCTCTAGGGGTCTGAATTCTGGTCCTCTTACTTGCACAGCAAGTGCTTTGACCACTGAGGCATCTCCCCAGTCCCCACCTTGTTTATTTGAAACAGGGTCTGCCACTAACCTGAAACTCACCAGGTAGACTAGACAGGCTGGACAGAGAGTCCCAGGGATTCACCTGTCTCTGCCTTCCCAGCACTGGGATTGCAATCACAAGCATGCACCACCACACCTGAGTTTTTGTATGTGGGTTACATATGGAGATGGAACTCAGGTCCTTGTGTTTTCACAGCAAGCACTCAATCAACTGTGTTATCTATCCAGCTATAGGTTTGTTTTTAAATCTACCTTTCATGACATGGAACTGAGGGACATTTCTGATTCAAACCATAATACCATGGGAGTGTGGAGGTGATACAGGTGGATTCAGGTGGATGTGTGCTTAAGACTGGTGTTTTCTCTTTCCTTTGTGTGGTAAATTTTGTGAGGTAAGCTGAATCCTTTAATGTTGTCCTAGTTTGCATCTCTATTATTGTGGTTAAAACACTGACTAAACCAACTTAGGAAAGAAAGTATTTGGTTGAAAGTTCACAGTTCATCATCAAGGGAAGTCAAGGCAGGAACTCAGGACAGGAATCTGGAACACAGACCATAGAGGAATGCTGCTTACTGGCTTGCTCCTCTGGCCCGTGCTTGGCCTGCTTTCTTATACAACCCAGGACTACCTGCCCAAGGGTAGCACCACCCGCAGTGGGCTGGACCCTCCCACATTGCTCAACAATCAAGAAAATGCCTCACAGACATGGCCACAGGCCAGCCCAATGGAGGAAATTCCTCAGTTGAGGTTCCCTCAGCCCAGGTGTGTCAAGTTGACAACTAAAGCTATCCAGACAATGGACCCCTTGTCAACTTGACACACAAGCACATCACTTTTAAATCACATTTCCATTTCTTATCCCCAAGATCTCATATTAACATTTAATATTACAACACAAAAAATACTACAACATTAAAAGCCCATAGTTAAAAATTCAAACACTTTAAAAATGCATTGTCTCTTTAAAATATTCCAAGTATCTCAACTGTAGGCTCCTGTAAAATCCAAAATAAGCTACATACTGTCTCGTTTCAAAAGGGAAAAAACTGGGCACACTTAAATAAAATCAAACTCCTGCAATGTAGCTTGGTGTTGGACATCTGGGAATCTCTCACAATGTTCTGGGCTCCAAAGGACTTGGACAGCTCCACTTCTCTGGCTCTGCCATCCACAGCACACTCAGCTTGTCTCATTGATTCAGGCTGGCTCCACTGCATACCTGCCACTGTCCATGGTGGTCATTCCATGGTGCTGGCATCTCCAATATACTGGTGTCTCCATTGCAACTCAGGCTACGCCTTCACTAATGGCCTCTTCTGGCTTCTCAGGGTATCAAGCCTCAAATTCTCTCCAGGACTCATGCCTGCCTTCAAAACTAGTACCATGTAGGAGACTCTTACACATTACTAAGTCCTTCTTCCAGGTTGAGATGGAGCCACAAGGCCCCTCTGGACCACAGATTCTGTGTGACCATGAGGAAATTACTTTCCAGAAGATTTCACCTCAATGATGCTGGTCTCTTGTTAATCACAGCTGATTCTTCAGCCCCAGCTGGCCAGAAAACAGATTCTCAATTTAAAATATCACACAAACAGCTCTGATAGTCTTTGCTTCTCTTGAAATGTTGCAAGCCAGGCCTCCATCATTCACAGTTCTCTTCAGCATAACTGTTTCAAGCTCCACAGTAACAACTTACTAAGTTCTGAGCACTCAGTGGCTTTTCCAGCCCAAAGATCCAAATACTTCCACAATCCTCCCCCAAACAATATGGTCAGATCTGTAACAGCAATACCCCATGATCCTGGTACCAACTTCTATTCTAGTTTGCTTTCTACTGTTGTAACAAAACACTGACCAAACCAATTTGGGGAGGAAGGGATTTATTTGGCTCATAGCTCTCAGTCCATCATCAAGGGAAACCAAGGCAGGAACTGGAGGACAGATCATGAAGGAACACTTCTTACTGGCTTGCTCCTCAGGTCCTTGCCCAGCCTTCTTTCTTATACAAACTAGGACCACCTGCCCAGGGGTGGCACAGTAGACTGGCTCTCCCACATCACTCCACACTCAAGAACCCCCCCTCCCCACACACACACATGCAGATGGCCACAGGTCAATCCAATGGAGGAAATTCTTCAGTTCTGGTTCCTTTTATCCAGGTGAGTCAAGTAGACAATTGAATCTATCCAGCACAAATGTGTTCTTCCTTAGGTTTAATTCACAGTTCTTAGCCCAAAAGAGGTCAAGAGAGCACTTGGGGTGTAGCACAGTTGGTAGAGAGTTTTCTAGCATGCATGAAGCCCTGGATTCCATCCCTATCACTACATAAACCAACCATGGTGGTGCATGCCTGCAATTGTAGCACTTGGGAGGAAGAGGCAAGAGGAATCCTCATCTTTCGCTATTGATATTTGAGGCCAGCCTGTGCTACATAAGATCTTGTTTCAAATAAAAGCTGAGAGAGAGAGAGGAAAGAGAGGGAAGAGAGAGAAGGAAGCCAAGAGATCAGTTAGCTAAAATCATTCAAGGTTAGCTATGTATTTCATATATAATGTTGTCATAGTGTGCATCTCTATTATTGCATATCTATCTTCTTTTTAAAGATATGTACTTATTTTATATGTATGTGTGTGCATGTGTGGGAGTGTATATAACTACATCACATGTGTACAGGTGCCCCCTGGAAGCCAGAACATGGCTTCCCTGGAACTGGAGTTACAGGTGGTTGTGAGCCACCCAGTGTAGGTGCTGGGAACAAACTGGGACCTTCTATAAGAACAGCAAGTGCTCTTAACCACTGATCCATCTCTCCAACCTCTCCTGTGCCTTCTTGCTCCCTCTGACAACCTTCTCGTTCTCCCTTCCCCAGGTGTAAGGAACTCAAATACTCTAAGGAGCTGCCGCAAATCTCCATCATCTTCATCTTTGTGAATGAGGCCCTGTCAGTGATCCTGCGGTCAGTACACAGTGCTGTCAATCACACACCCACACACTTGCTGAAGGAAATCATCCTGGTGGATGACAACAGTGATGAAGGTATGGGGGTGGATGGCCCATAGGCCTCAGATGAAAATGTCACTTCTGCTCCCAAGAGAGCCCTGTGTCCATGGCTTTTGCTCCTTAGAATATGTCAGGCAAAGGGAGGGGTTTGAAAGGAGGAGGTCCCAGTAGACATTGGTTCATTAATGTCTAAATTCTCCAGAGCTCTGTGCTGGTTAGTTTTTTTGGTGTTTTTTTTTTTATGTTGTTGTTGCTGCTGTTATTGTTTGTTTTTAATTTTCAGCTTGACACAACCTTATCTAGATCAGATTGATCTGTGGGCATGTCTGTGGGGGATTTTCTTGATTGCTAATTGGTGTGGGAAGACCCAGCCCACTGAGGGAGGTACCATTCCCTAGATGGTGTGTGGGGGGGGGTACTGTGTACAAGAGAAATAGAGCTGAGAGAAAGCAAGTGAGGTTCCATCCGTCTCTTTCTGCCCTTGACTGTGGGTGTGATGTGAGGAGCTATCTGAGTTCCCACACGGACTTCCTTCAGTGGTGGACTGTGACCTGGAAGTAGAAGCCAAATAAACCCTTTCCTCCCCCAAGTTGCTTATGATCAGGGCGTTTTTATCACAGCAACAAAAGTGAAACCAGGATAGGCTCAGTAGGTAAAAATGCGTGTCACACAATCATGAGGACCTGAGTTCAATCCCCCAGAGCCCATGTGAAAAAAGCCAGGTGTGAGTTAGTATTGGGAGCTTATAACCCCAGCACCAGGGAGGCAGAGGTAGGAGGATCCTAGGGCTCTATGGCCAGGCAGCCTAGCCTAATTGGTGAGCTTCAGGCCAAGGAGACATTCTGTCTCATGCCTGAGAAATGACATTATGGGCTGCCTGTGGCCTCCACAGGCACACACACACACACACACACACACACACACACACACACACATGCATACACACAATAAAAATAAATAAATTTCAAAAAGTAAAATTACTGGTACCACACACCTTGTAACCCCAGCACTCAGGAGGCTAAGACAGGAGGATCATGAGTTCAGAGTCAGCCTGGGTTATGCAACAACTTCTGTGCCAGTCCAGGCTACATAATGAGACTCTATTGGAAAAAAAAAAAAAAAACCATACAACAAGAGTAAATTAGTGGGTTTGAATCTAGATTAATTGCCTTTTATTCATATCACCTAAAGAACATAAAGAGGAAGGGCTGAATCCTTCCTTTCCCTGTCTTTTACTGCTGTCTCTACTGTCTTTTCCAAGATTTAAGTAAAGAAGTTAATTCTGGGTGCGGTGGCACACACCTTTAATGCCAGCACTCAGGAGGAGGCAGAGGCAGGCAGATCTTTGTGAGATCCAGGCCAAACTCGTCTACATAGTAAGTTCCAGGTGGGCTGAGGCTACAGGAGAACCTGTCAAAAAAAATAAAGCAATTGTCCTTGGAGCTGGGGAGATGGCCCAGTCAACAGAGTACCAATCATGAAAGCAGGAGTTTAATCTCCAGAACCCGCTTAAAAAGCTGGGCACCATGGTGAGCACCTATAACTCCAGTGCTGAGGAGGCAGAGACAGCTTGATCCCTGAGCTCACTGGTCAGCCAGTCTAGCTGAATCGGCATACCCCAGGTTCAGTGAGAGACCCTAATTCAAATATAAAGGTAGAGAATGATTGAGGAAGACACTTGATATAGACTTCTAGTCTCCACACACATGAGCATATACACATACATAAACATGCACACACATATACACACATAAACACATAACACTGTCTTATGTTAGGAACACATTTTATATTAGAATTCCCCCTTTGGGTCACTGGACCCAAAATGATGGTGGCTGAAAATCAGTTTTGGTAGGTGTTTGGATTTCAGCACTCTTAGAGGCAATGGGTCAGTTGAAATAGAATGTAAGGGCCTGGAGAGATGGCTCAATGATTAAGAGCGTGTACTGCTCTTGTAAAGGACAGATGTTCAGTTCCCAGTACCCACTTGAGGTACTCACAACTTCCTGTAACTCCAGCTTCTGACCTCCACACTCACACATGCACATACACACATAGACACATACACACAATGCAAAAAATATTTAAATAAAATTAGAAAGCAAGAAAATATTGGATGGTCATTGCAAAACACTTAAGAGGTCCTGAGAGACCAACAAAGTGCATTAGACTGGTGTGGCAGTGGTAGGCCCTGAGAATTTCACTTTTTAAAAAATAGAAATTATTTATTTTTATTTTATGTATATGAGTATATTACCTGCATGTATGTAAGTGCACCCATGTTGTGCAATGACCATGGAGGTCAGAAGAGGGAGTAGGATTCCCCTGAAACTGGAGTTACAGATGGTCATTAGCTGCCATGTGGTACTGGGAACCAAACCCAGGTCCTCCTCAAGAACAACCAGTGCTCTTAACCACTGAGCTGTCTCCCCAGTCCCAGAATCCTGCTCTTCTATCAGCTCATAAAGTGTACAAAATTCCCTGTACTCACTGCAGGGAGATGCTCCCTCAAGCTCAGGACAGCCATGACAACCATTGGATTAGCCTGCCTGAAGGCCAAGGTGGCTTATCTTCCAAGCAGCCATAGGATTTTGAATAGATTAACTCTTGTTCTCAACAGGCTGAGTAGAAGGATTACCCCACAAGGGGCTCTCAGGCTGGGAAGAACATGAGCTCACTTGGGTCTAGGTCATAGCCTGATCATCTTCAGGAGCTCAGGTCCAGATCATCTCAGAGGCTGAGGTTCCCACCTGTATTCTGAACTGCTAATTATTCTCAAGGTGTGGTGATCAGGGCTCTGGGTTCTGGAATCTGTCCTCTTTGGGGCCTCTGGTATATAAAAATTGGTCACTGCATGGTTTTTAATACCCTTATTTTTCTCCTTTTTTCTTTATTTTTTTTTTGAGGGGGGTGGGAGTTAGAGTCTCATGTAGCTCAGGCTGGCCTCAAAACTTTGTATGTAGCTGAAGATGACCTTGAACTCCCCATCTTCCTGCCTGTACCTCTCAAGTATTGGGATTGCAGGCTTTTGCTACCATAAATGGTTTGTGCAGTACTGAGGATGGAGGCCAAGGTTTCATGCATGTTAGGCAAGCACTCTGCCAACGGAGCCATGTCCCCAACCTATTCTCCTTTATCTTGTACCATTTTTTAAGCTATAGTTTCTTTTAAGCCTGATGTTGACCTTGGAAGGGAGAGATTCTTCCAGTTCCAGTCTCAGAATCTTTTAGCAAAGTCTCTCTCTGGTTTGATTCATGAACCTCTTTGCTGCATCCTCCTTTGTAACACCTGTTGTAGACCTCTGGCTTCGGCAGAACTTTCTGAGTTTGTTGAACCTCTGCTTCTGACACTTCATGCATTAGGTAGCTAATGTCGTCTTACTTGTCCTGTGTCCTAACATGATTCTTGCTATGTATGACATAAGCACTGCGCTGCCACTAAAGAAATTATTAGCGTGCTATACTGTCTAATCTTACCTAACTGGGTTTCATGCAGGGTAGGGGCTTGAGTTTACAGATGGTTGGTGGCCCTCAATGACTCTCACCCCATGTGATGATTAATTTTAATTGTCAACTCGACACAATCTAGAATCACCTGGGAAGAGAGTCTCAGTGAGGGATTGTCTAGATCAGGTTTGTCTGTGGGGGGGGTATCTTGATTGGCTTTATTGATGTTGAAAGCACAATTCCCTAGGCCTGGACTGTGTAAGAGTGGGGAAGGTGAGCTGAGTACGAGCATGCATGCATACATTCTCTGTGTTACTGACTGTAATGCAATTAGCTGCTTCAAGTACCTGCCTTGACTTCCTCACGATGGTGGACTGTAACCTGCCATTGTCACCTGAAATAAACCCTTTCTTCCTTAGGTTGTCTTGGTCATGGTATTTTGCCACAGAAAGGAAACTAGGACACCTGGCAAGGAAGGGAGCCTGGTAGAGCTGGGGTAGGCGGGGCAGAGGCCCTTATTGAACTGACTGCAAATGTTGCACAGAAGCATTAGAAGACCCAGAGAGCAGAGATGACCCCCCCACTTCCCTATAAGCCCATCTAAAGGAGATGATTAGGAAGACAAGACAGCCTGAGCCAGAACTTCAGTTCCATAGGAGACAGCAAAGTTCTCTGGTACAGGTCAAGCACTTGGTAGTTTTTTCAGGTGGCTTAGCTTAGGTTCTCCCCAAGAAGCAGACTGGAAACAAAGATTTGAATGCAAGTAGTTCATTTGGGAGGTAAGCAGAACACCAGTGGGGTGTGGGCTGTGTTCTCCTTTAATTTCTGCTGCTGTGGTAAAACACCTGGACAAAATACAACATAGGGGAGGAAAGGGCTTATTTAGATCTACAGAGACAGACTGCTGGCCACACCACATCCACAGTCAATGTCAGGGAGAAATGAATTCATTCTCTCTCTCTCTCTCTCTCTCTCCCTCTACACCCCCCCCGCAAGCTTTCTTCACTCTTACACTATTCAGGGTCCACACCATGAAATGGTGCTGTCTACATTCAAACTGGGTCTTCCCATGTCAATTAACACTCAAGACAATCCCCCACAGGCATGCCCATAGGCCAGCCTGCTCTGGATAATCCCTCATTCAGACTCTTTTCCCAGGTAATTCTAGGTTGCATCAAGTTGACATTTAAAGCTAACTAGCACAGAATGTAAGAATGCTGAAGAGATCTGCAAACATGGCTGTTGTGGGCAAGAGAAGTTGAATCCCAGGGGTGGAGCTCCAGGAGACAGTGTAGGGTCACCCTTAAACTAAGCCTGCACTACAAGTGAGTTTCAGTAATAGAGCTAATAATACCAGCAGATGTTTTCTTGCAAGAATTAACATGGTGGAACTCGGGAGACAGGTGGGTCTGGTTTATGTACCTTTGTCACATTAAATGCTTTAGCAATGGAAACTTCTGGATCCCTGTGCTCAAGGAAGTTCTGCTTTAACAGGCTCAGGGTTGGGTTGTAAAGTTGCATGGTTCACAGTCTCCCTGGCAGTGGTGTTAAAGAGGGTGTGGAGACTACACCTTAGAACCTACACGAACC